ATAATTTATATTAAAATAACCGTACATTTTTATCGCGCTATAGTATTTCGCTATTTAAGTTGTAATTTAGCGACGCTACGTAAATAACTACTAAAAAAGCAGCGTGCGTGCTACTGCAGTATCGCTAACCTAAAATAGTTATTACTATATTATTTTATTATTGTATTATTTTAATCTGAACAGTATATAAACCAATTTAAATAGTGAACGTATGAGTACCAAATACAGTTATTTTAATATAATAAATTATTTTTCATCATTTTAACTAACTATCAAATATTTTTGTTTGTCTCCGTTTATTATCGTTCATGGAACACAACTTTTAGATCGATGATTCAACCATTTATTTATTACTTGCAATGGCAACCATCAAAACTCGCATCAGTATTATAGTCCAAAGACCTGATTTAAACGAGTAGCCGAATAGATAGATCTGTCCTTTGGGTGACTTTGACCTGACCACCATATTATGTTTTTGAAAGCGCCCTCCTTCCCGCTACTACAAAATCACGAAATTATGAGTTTTATCTTATTACAATGAAATATGATTATTTTATCCAAAATCCACGATGATTATTATAGTTATTACCAATCGGTCGTRTGTCATCGTGTGACGCACTTACGTGATTGGTGAAAAACTCACATGTGTTCAGAAAAATTTTGTTTATAAATAGATAATCTATAGAGAAAAAAACACGTCATACACTCAGCGAAAACGATCGTGAAACGACTATGATTTACAATCGCACGATAAGAGGGCGCACGTCCATTGACCGCACGGATCGAATAAAATAACATTAGGCATATCATGGTATATCTAGATCCAATATTGAAGTCTGATCTAATCTAACTTGAGCACCTACTTCAAATAATAGCTGAGACGGGGGTTCGAATATACTGCAATAATAATTATCGGGCTCGCGCGTGTATGGATTTGGAATATGTCTTGACCGCGATCAGAGACAATAATAATAATATATCGGTAATAACTAATAATTATGTGTTTTTTTTATTGCGAGATCAACATTTATTTTTTGCCGAAACGTGGTATAAAACATTCAGTATAGGTATATCCCTTATACTTATACACGGCGGAATGTAGCGTTCTAGTGTACGTACTGTGTTCATCATATATAGCATAGGTACGTGATAGTGTTTCTCGAGCTCTTCTTGGAGTTAGGCGACGATTATATTATATTTATACTATACTCTTGACATTGTTAACAGTTGTTTGGCGGCGACCTCTTTTTATACAAGTTGTTCGGCTATTAAACTATATTTTTTTTTTATTGTTATACGTTGAACAGTATTGCATCACTAGAGAATTCCGGACACGCAATAGAACACAAGTCGCAAGGATAATTTTATAAGCATCCATAATGTATTTCGGGGTGGTTTTTTTTAAGCACAAAATATTAAAGTAGTTACTTGATATATATTTTGTTGCGGTTAGCTCCGTACCTACTTATTAAATTTGTTTTGATCGACGTGATAGTAACACTATGTAGATATTTACAAATATTGTATAATTTGTAAAAATGTAATTTTTAATTTCATATTCCGTGATAGAATATTTTCTTGCCGAAGTCGACAAAACGTATACAAACATCGAATGATAAGCCTAAAATATGTTATTATTCTTTATTATAATATTTTAAAATTTAGCTTAATAATAGGGGGGTGAATTAGTGAAATGGAAATAGCATAATTTAACAAGGTAGTTTGACTTTTAAAATATATGAAGATATAAATCCTACAAATTGGCTGCCTTTAAGTATTGACTTTTAATTGTTATAACTTATAGTGCTATTTAAAAATACAAAAAAAAAATCACATTCGCTTTATCTGTATAACAGCGATGAGATCCTGTGGGCTCGTATCGGGATTTCATAGCCTAAAGTGAATTGTTTGGATTTACTTAGGTCGAACTTCACTTATTGTAGATGGGAAAAAGAGTCAAAAATTAACTACATAAACAATACATCTTATATCACATATTTACACGTACCTTCATAACAATACATAACATTACCGATTTTATCATTTTATTACTAATCTTTAACTTATGTCTCATATTCTCATTAATAATAGTAAATTATTAACTGTTAATAAGTAATACACTAATAAGTAACAACTCATTAAGATTTATTATATCTCTATTTTGTGTACCCAATCAACCTGATACCTATATGTTATTATTATTATCATGTAGCTGCAGTGTGTTGACTTATAATAAAAGCTCACAGTAAAATCATCATAATAATCGATCATAATGGTATTATATTATTATCATACTTTCCTAYAATAATGGCACGTAAAAATAGAAATATTGTTTACGCCGTTTACGGTCAAAACGATCCTCGAATAAAGATTTGTAAAATATTTTATTTTTTGTTATCTCACAAACAACAACAACAATAATTAAAATAATATTAAACATTGACAATAATKTTGTTGCGCAGGTTCTTTCTGAAACATACGTCTATCGAACAGGCATTCGACATGCTCCAGGAACAAGGGTTCTACATGGCCGGAAGTTGTGGATCGGGCACGGCCGGTGGCACGTCTGCCGCCGAGCTCAAACCGGGCGTGGACTCAGAAGAAAGCCGCTGGAATCATTACAACGAGTTTGTGTTCGTCAGAGAATCATGAATTTCGACCACCTACTCCGTCTGCACCGACACGAAACGAGATGACGAGGGTAACAAGCGCCTGTCGTCATATCATTCATAATTTATGACATCTCAGACCAAACATATTATTATTATTATTATCGTAATACTATTTTGTAGATAAAATTATTATTATTATTCTATTTTCGTTTTTCGTTTACGTTTCTAAAWTTTTTTTTTCATTCCTTTAATTATTATTAATATACGTAACGTTTATATATTATAATATATATATAAATTATAATGATTATTAGTGATTATACCATTTATAATATATCATTATTATTTTTAATGTTATGATTATGAAAATATTACTAGGGTCTAGACATAGGAATATTACGTTCGAATAATATATAATAATATAATATATATTTGTATTGTTTTTTTTTCTAGAAAATGGTAGAAATTTATATAGGTATTATACATTAAACATATTCATCGTGTTACAAAATGATATAATATGATGTTGTAAATTTCATTACATTTATATATTATTAATTATTATAATATTATAATATATAGTTGCTCTAAAATATTATATATTATACACATATAAGGTATACTGACTATATTCGTTATCAAATTATCATCATATAATTAATATATAATATTATAATAATATACTATATAATACGTCGATATTAAACCATGCTATGTAAAATTAATGTTTAATTTATTATTAATAATAATTAAAAACAAAAGATAAAATAAAAAACAAAATTTAAAAAACGTATACGACTTAAGTTCAGTTACATTTTAAACGAGCTATCACATTGGTATCTGTTCTTCGTTCATAATAATTGGTGCACAAATATATTATTATATAATATAATATATAATATATAATATAAACATTACTGCAATGAGGAKGGAGATATAATTCACCTAGTTTTTTCAATCATATTTTAATTTAAATTTAGAATAAAAATTATAAGGGGTTGTGCTGCTGATATAATCCTAGCACCCTCCCTAGAAAATTGTCCCTAGTTGTGCCAAATAATAAACATATTATAATATTATAYGTGTAATATTATTGTGTACGAAATATTTCAGTTTGTATTTTTTTTCCTGTAGTGGTCAAGTCAACCCAGATCCCATCATAATATGAGTACACGTATCTCGTCGATATTATATAAACATTGATTCTACGCGTATAATTATTATCGTTAAGAGGAAGCCACCATTCTTGTATGTGTTGTCTCTGTCTTAAAAACGTTCAAAAATTGTTTTGAGAGGTAAAAAATCGAAAAGGCTACACTCATAACTAAGAAACGACATTTTAATACTCTATAAAGAGGTCGAAAAAACATTAACTGCGCAACATCGTTTTTTTTCGACAGGATTTGTGATATCGAATAATAAAAAACGAATTCACACAGTCATAAGCAACCTGTATATTATTGATAAGTAATATTAACTCCCTAACTTCATCACAAGCTACGCTTAAAGAAGGTAGGTATAAATATTTAAGATATATTGTATTGATGTATAGGTATTTATACTGTACAAKTAATCTTTTATTTAATACAATAAAAAAAAWAAAAATGTTCTCTACTCTTTATATCGTGTGAACATTTCGTTACTCAGTTGTTATACTGTAGCCTTTTCGGTTTTTTCACGCACTAAACAGTTTTTACCATATATTATACGTTTGTGAGACGGAGGCAACACACACGGGTGGTGGCGTCCTCTTATAAGCACGATGCACTTTAATAACGAAACCGTTAATACCCTATATGTGATATGGGATATGTGAAATGTGATACCCTATATTATGACATCACATAACAATATAGTATGGTGGTAGTTATATGTACATCATGTAAGTATTTACAATATTYCATGTAAAYCCTTCGAGCCTACCTAGAGGGTCGGCGTGCGCGTAATATTATATTGAGCTTTAAAATATTATTTAACATTTTATAAGCCCATATTTGATTCTAATCGTACATCGTTTACGATAACACACTACTGTGTGCTACTAACTTAGTAGCTGTGGTTTTAATTCGTATGATTCTTTAAGATTTGAGTTTCGATTTCGGAACAATATATTAGGMATCTACCGAAACAAAATATATTCATTAATACAATRGAGTGACTATACGGTTGTAGTTTTGTTCCAACGAAATAATTAAGCGAGGTTAGTGGTAATTGAATAAAACAAAAAAAAACTACTCGGGGATGTTATTATAATAATTAAATCTCGCATTTCAGTTGTTTGTTTGTAGCGGTTCTTCGAAAAAAGTTATCGCTTCGATCGCAC